AACTCATATTTTTCTGAAAAATAAATTGAATTTGGGTCTGCATGCCCTGTCTTATGGTAACAATAGCACCAATAAATGGGCTGGATTGCATATTGTTTCCAACCAAATTAATCAATGTCAGTTAACGTACTATTCCAGACTTATTTGTAGAAAATTTAGACAGTGCACCAGACAGCCTAAACTATTTAATCCCTTTTAAATTCCAGAATAAAAGGATTAAACAATTTATCAGTGCTGCTCATCTGCCCATCCTTCCAGCTGCTTTTGTCATCTTTATTTTTTCCTGAAACTATTAAAACCTCTTAGATTGTATTTCATGCATTACATGTAATTTGGCCACCATTTCTCAGATTAGGGTTTCCCAATCCAATTTCTCATTGTCTCCTAAAAAATATTTCCTGCCTTCATCCAAGATCATAAAAAAGTAATTAGGGCGATAATCCACCTCAAGACAGCCCAGACTCTAAAAACAAGCGGAATTTGATGAAATAGAATCAGTGAACAGCATTCATTTTGTGAATGTGCTGCAGATGCATACAAAAAATTGAATATATCATCTTTTTCTTTTTTTTACTACCCTACAAAAAGTTGCCAGGCAGCATGGATTCATAACAAATAATATTTAACTGAGTGTAATTTCAAAAAAACCTTCTTCTGCTGAACACAAAACCAATGGAAAGGCTTCCAATACCTCAGTTACGTAAACTAATCCTTTAGTTCAGGCTCCAATCCTATGGCTGTTGAGTTAAACCCAGTGGTGTAGCAGTTTCAGATGTTAAAAGGTTGGTCCAGTTGCTAAAGGTTGGTCCAGATGCTAGAAGGTAGCCCATTTTGATACATGCCTTGATTACAATGGGAGCTCCTTTTTCTCATTAGTGCAACAGTATACTAACACCCAGGGACGCGGGTGGCACTGTGGGTTAAACCACAGAGCCTAGGACTTGCTGATCTGAAGGTCGGCAGTTCGAATCCCTGCGACGGGGTGAGCTCCCGTTGCTCGGTCCCTGCTCCTGCCAACCTAGCAGTTCGAAAGCATGTCAAAGTGCAAGTAGATAAATAGGTACCGCTCTGGCGGGAAGGTAAATGGCGTTTCTGTGCGCTGCTCTGGTTCACCAGAAGTGGCTTAGTCATTCAAGCCACATGACCCGGAAGCTGTACGCCGGCTCCCTTGGCCAATAAAGCGAGATGAGCGCCGCAACCCCAGAGTTGTCCGTGGCTGGACTTAATGGTCAGGGGTCCCTGTACCTTTTATACTAACACCCACCATTTTCTTAAAGGTGGTGGTGGGAATCCTTAAAGTTCAAGGGAAATTAAAATAGGGATGCTGACCCCGTGGCCTTTCAGGTATTGTTGGGACTCAGTCCCAGCCAATCATTAAAGACCATCCCAGGATTCTACCCAAAGAAATATGATTCTCTCTGCGTTTGCTCTTGACGTGTACATTTCTGTTTCTAGGACTTCTCTTAAAACGTCCTCCTAGATTAGTCAAAGCATTTCTTGGCGATGAGTCTTGATTTACAGCCTTAAATTAGTTTGCTCCGAAACAAGCTGACCTTGACTCACTGTGTTATAAAATGGGTTTGCATCTGCACGCTGCACCTCCTTTTCTCATTGATGTATTTTCACTCCAATTAACATCTTACCGTGTTTTCAGACGCTGACTCATTTCAGGCTTTAGTTTGATTAATAATGTGTGTTTTGAGCGCAAACGAGCAATCAGAACTGTAGACTAGTGCTTGTCATGGGACATCCCCCCCTCTATGGCTTTCCCCCTGTTTCCCTACCATTTCCTAAATTGTACATAATTTCTTACTAAGCTGCAGTGGTAAAATATAGATTTATTAATGGTTATGGAAAGTACCCAGACATTGCACTTATTGACGTATGAGTTGCAGCAAGGTTTTCCCTACTTAATCTCCCCAAAGCTTGAGTCATGAAGCTCTGCTCTAGAGGTGGGCTGGGGGAATGGCTTGCTTGGGAGTACATCCTCCATTCATTCCAATGGGACTCTGTGCTGGACTTCCAAGCAAGCCCCACTGCTGTAGCTGTGCTGAGCAGGTTGAGTTTCTTGATGGCCACATGGACCCTTCAGTCATGGTTACAGCTCATTTGGGAAAGAGCTGAATCTCCTGCTATGCTCTTCTGTTTGCTATATCCAAATGCTATCAGAGCAATGTGGGCAGAAGCTACAGAGACATGGTCCCCACATTGCTGTGGTAACATAGTACAGTGGTACCTTGGTTCCCTAATGGCTTAGTTGTTGAATAAATCGGCTCCTGAACGCTGCAAACCTGGAAGTAAGTGTTCCGGTTTGCAAATGTTTTTTGGAAGCTGAATGTCCGACACTGCTTCCACCACTTTTGCCTCTGTGCAGGAAGCTCCTGCAGCCAATCGGAAGCTGCGCCTTGGTTTCCGAACGGTTTCGGGAGTCGAATGGACTCCCGAAATGGATTAAGTTCGAGAGCCAAGGTACCACTGTAATCTGTCCATATTCTTGTGGATTTCAGTAGCGCTTTTGCCACTGGCTTCTCTGGGAACTGAGCTTCAGAGTTACAGAGATGCTTTAAGATAACGTTTTTATTTTCGTTTTATAATTAGCATCTGCTTTAAGCACAGACTCCACCATAAGAGGTCATAAATAATTCCAGTTCAGAGTAGTATCATCTTCACTAAAGGTTTAAGTGGTGGTTTTTTTTCGGGGTTTTTAAATCACTCAGATTAGAATTACCACTTATCTCATCCTTCTGGTTATTTTCACTGCCTTTCTGACTCAGAGATGTAAAATAAATTCCATAATGGTTTTTTTTTTTTTTTTAAATGCTTTATTTCCTTTTCCCATGATAATCAGATCTCCTGACAGAAGATGGGGTCAATTTTCAAGGACAGTGAATAACCAAAGAAAAGGGAAAATGTGTACTGCAGGAAAAAGAGGAGTGTACTGAAAGAGGATAAATTCGCTTGCCAAGTCTTGAGTATCAAAGGCCCCATCCTAATTAAGAAGATCTAAACATGAGTGGAAAACATACAGCACTGATGTCATGCATGAAAATATTTATAGTTTGCACTGAAATAATTGCATTATATTGAAAAACGTTTACTGGTTAGGCCAATCCTGCAAATTAAAGAGAAAATCAGTGGTAGGGAGGAAACGGGGGGGAGCTCTGCAGTTCTTCCAGGGCATACAGTTGAAACACTTCATTGGAGCTTTCGTAAGACTGGTTCACTAGACCAGATTGAAAAAACTGACTCTTGGAGACCTCACCATTTAAACCTCACCATCACATTTAAACTGCTCATGTTAATGATTTCTCTGCCCATTTCTTTGGGAACTGGAGAAGAGGGGTTTTTGTTCTGAATCCCAGAACCTACCAGAAAATGTTAGGGAAGCCATCATCTGCAATTGCTTGCACGCTTTTGCTAGTTCTGTTCATCCATAAGGCATTGCACTCTGGATTTCTGGCAACCTTGCCATAACTCAAGAATTGTGCCCTGCATTCATGTCTCTTCACATAAGCTCCTAGGTTACTAGTATCTTCACACAGAAAATTCATTGTTCCGCCCATTGGGGTTTGGACTATATTCAGCAGTTTGGGAAAGGGTGGCCATTTGGGATGCATTTTCTTGATTCGTTTTGAAATAATATAACTTCTCTAAAACCAGCTTCCCAACCTAAACGTTAGGCATAGGAAAGTAATTGGAAATTTAATATGCTTTGACAGACATAAGCTCTGTCTGATAGAGTCAAGGGGTTTATTTAATGGTCAAATGCTACCATGCAGAATGAGTTTGAAAGTTTTTTGTTATTTCATCATCTTCTACCAACCAGGTGTAGAACTGCAAACCTATGAGATTGGTCAAAATGAACAAATTTCACCTCTGTTTGCACTTTCATTTCTAAACCTTTAAAGCTCAAAACATTTTGCAAAAGCCCGTTGGACTGCCAGCTTGATTGATGCGCACAGATTTGATACATGAATATAGCGGTTTGGCACAAGCTCTGTGGCTTAGAATCTTGATTAAAAATATGTATTAAAAATACATCCTTTAATATCTACACCCTTTAATACAGAAATCTTCAGGTTAATTTACAGGTTAGAATTATAAAATATAGACAACAAACAGTAGCATCAAAAATAGTGGATAAAAGAAGAATAAAATAATGCAGTGGAAATGTTGAAGGTCAAAATGCCTTCACAGCAGAGCACCACCACAAAGAAGGCCCTCTACCCTTCTCCCATCACCATCTTCCTCAGGTCATACAAGGGATCATCCTAAGATGACTGCAGTGTACAGAGATGCTCATGTTAGAACAGGAACCCAGGCCATGTAGAGCAGGCTTCCTCAACCTCTGCCCTCCAGATGTTTTGAGACTACAGTTGCCATCATCCCTGACCACTGGTCCTGGTAGCTAGGGATCATGGGAGTTGTAGGCCAAAAACATCTGGAGGGCCGAGGTTGAGGAAGCCTGATGTAGAGCACTGAAAGCAAGCACACAAACTTGTGCCCAGAAATATACCAGGAACCTTTCATCCTTGGTGAGATATACGTTTCCATCACCTGGTCTCAGTTAGCAGCCTGGCAGCCTGTATTCTGAACAAACCATTTCCCCCGAACAGTTTTTGATAATAGAACAATAATAGAAAACAGTACAAATACATGGTAAGACTGAGCAGTGAATCAAGACGTCTCTATTCATATCTCGTCTCTGCCGCGAGCTCTCTAGGTGGCCTGAGACAACTCACTCTCAGCCAGCTTCAGAGATGCTCTTACGTGACGAGGTTGCTGTTATGATTCCAATTAGATGATGTATGTGAAGCAATATGAAGGTTTGGAAAGCACCGTACATTGTGTACCATCACTTAGGAATTGAGACATAATGCTGCTTGCTCCCTCCTAACTATGGTTGACAAGTTGAGAGCATTGGGAATATGCTTCTGCTGCCCATAGCCTGCCCTCCCCTTTAGCTGTTGTCAAACAGCTCTTCAGCATCAAGGCTTCTTGTGGGTATATGATTAACTACAAAGCTAATTTAGCCAGGATTTGAAATCAGTTAGCAGTGGGTTTTTGATCCTGGATTAGGGCTGTTGGTCTTCCTAGGCTCCTTGTAATCTTCTCACAAGCTTCTGGCTGTCCACAGGGATTCCTGGACTGGATTCCGAGCTTTTGGTCTGACCCTACAGGGCTTTCATGCTAAGAGAAAACAAACCAGAACATCAAGGTAACCAAATGAATGATGCATAGTGAATTTACACACACAAAAGTGGTTTTATAGAGATTCACAAAATTAAGAATCAATGCCACTAAGCAGTAAAAAATAAACAGTAAACACAAATTGCGTGGGAAGGGTCATAATAACAAAGTATTGCCAAAAAGTAACAAGTCATAATAAAAAGAGAGCCATTTTGATAAATTATTTGTAAAAGGTGCTCAGCTGGGCAAGATGGTATGAATTTGGGGGCTGCAAAGTCCTTCTTCCAGTTTTACACTACTGCAGGACGCATTTATTGGAAAGTAAGCCAAATTGATTTTAGTAGAGCTGAACTTTGAAACAAGTGGGCTTAAAACTTCAACATGTAGCAATCTTTTTATATTATTATTATTATTATTATTTATTATACTTCCCCGTACCTGCAAGTCTTAGGGCTTTTGTAGTTAGCTTTTACAGGACATGCCTAAAGTCATACCCTGCTAAGCCAGACCAGGGTGCACCTACTCTAGAGTTTTGTTTCAAAGCCTGCAGCCTCTGGAAGCTCTCAGTCAGAGAATTATGATGGTAGCTGTCCCCTGTTGTTTTGTACCCAGGATTTCAAATTTTTAAGTTGCATCTTAGCTTTCATCGTTGATTTTAAACCTGTCCACAGGGAATCTGCCTAGTCCACCCTTCACCAATTTAGTTGCCTCCAGATGTTGGCCATCCTGATGGGGTTGATCGGAGGTGTCGTCCAAAATATCTAGAGGGCACTACGTTGGGAAATACCTGAGATACTGGACGCCAGCACACCTTGTGGCTTTGATGCAATAAGTTGGTTATTTTTTGAAGAAGTAGCAAAGAAAGTGAAGCTATTTCCTGCTTTGCTGTTTTCGCATGTGCAGTCCACATGCATGAAGATCAGGACCAAAATGTGTGCAAGTAAGCACCAAAGCTTGCAGTTTTAGCTTGAGGATCAGTGCACAATCCTGCTGTTTCATCCTGCAGCACGCCAGTGACACTTAAAGGGTAAAGGGTAAAGGGTAAAGGTAAAGGGACCCCTGACTATTAGGTCCAGTTGCGAACGGCTCTGGGGTTGCAGCGCTCATCTCACTTTATTGGCCAAGGGATCTGGCGTACAGCTTCCGGGTCATGTGGCTTGAATGACTAAGCCACTTCTGGCGAACCAGAGCAGCGCACGGAAACGCCATTTACCTTCCCGCCAGAGCGGTACCTATTTATCTACTTGCACTTTGACGTGCTTTTGAACTGCTAGGTGGACAGGAGCTGGGACCAAGTAACGGGAGCTCACCCCGTTGCGGGGATTCGAACCGCTGACCTTCTGATCGGCAAGCCCAGGCTCAGTGGTTTAACCCACAGCGCCACCTGCGTCCCTACCAGCGACACTTATTTGTATCTCAATCTGCCTGTGGGTGGGTACACTGTCTTGCCACTTGATGAAGCAGGCTGAATGGTTTACTTGCAAGTAGATCTTGTGGGTAGACATATCAACCCACACCTAAAGTGCCTACCTGTGAGAAGGCCTAGCTGTGGGTAAGGATTCCTACCTGCTGTTTTACAGAGTAAACTTGCAGGGAGCAATGTTATGCATGATATATGTCCAGATCTAGACATTGTATGGAACATTGCAGGGATGTTGACGTCCTCCAGTAAGACCAGAAATGGATAAAATGGATCTAGAGGGATGTAGATCTCATCTGGCAAGACACTCTGTTGTACGGGCATACAACCCAGAATGAGGCCAGGCTGCATTAGCTGTTCCTAATAAGTTTTGGCACATATCCCGCGTACATGGGGGGAACCATTGCAGGCACGTCTTTATACAAGAATAATTCTATAGATTTTTGTTTGAATTACTTTGCATTATGCACATTCAGAATGGAAATCACTTTGTATTTTCAGGAGGAACATTTAACTGTGGGTGTGTAAATTTAATCCAATAGAGCAGGCGTGTGATTTATTTCATACAAAATGAGAACATTTTTGTGCCGGAGAACAGTAGCTCAGTGGGAATATTGTTCAACTACAAGAGAAAAAAATGCACTTATCTTCTAATAACCTGACTAGCTGACAGATTATAGTGCAGCTTTTTTGTAAGTAGACATGAAAAAGATGCCAAATTTATCTTTTCTGGCACTAACCATAGTGGAATGAAGTTGGCTTAGAGCAGTGAGAACTGAAGATCAAGTGGTAAAAAAAAAAAAAGTAATTACTTACTGCTCTAATATGTAAAATTAATGCTACATGACATTTTAATTTGATTCTATTAGCCTTTCCCACTTTGTCAGCTGCAACAACCTACGGCGAATTCTGGGCTAAATAACTGGGTGCAATTGTGCAAGCTTCCTTCAGTCAATAATAATACCTACCGTTTATATAGGAAAGCCAGCTTTTATGCAGAGGTGGGGGACCATTGGGTCTGATGCAGTCATTAAACTACAGCTCCCATCTTCCCTGACCATTAACTTTGTTGACTGGGGCTGATGGGTATTAGAATCCAACAACATCTAGTGGCTCTCAGGTTCCTCTTCCCTGTTTTAATTTGTAAGCCACTTGTAATTCATGTTGTTTTTTGAAAGGTGTGTTATAAGGGGACTCCAGACATTCATAGGATGGCCTTGTGCCAGACAACCTCACCAGCATCTTGTGAGGATAAAATAGAGGCAGGGAGACTTTTTCTTTTTATATATATTATATTTTATTGGTTTTCAAATACAAAAACAAATTTATACATTCCATACATCTTAATTACATCTTACTTCCCTTTTTGACTTCCCTCAATTTGTCTGCCATTCCTTCCCTTTGTTACCTTTTCTGCCCTTTTAACATTTCTGCCCTTTTAACCATTTCCCCTCACAGAGCTTCCTTAAAACTTACAAACGTAATTTGATTATCACTCAGTTTTTGCATATATTGGATAAACTTTTCCCAATCTTCTGTAAATCTTTGATCTCGTCGATTCCGGATCCTTCCTGTCATTCTATCCAGTTCTGCATAATCCATCATTTTAGTTCTCCATTCTTCTATCGTAGGTAATTCCTCCTGTTTCCATTTCTGGGCCATCAATATTCTTGCTGCTGTCACTGCATATAAAAATAACTTCTTTTCTTTCTTATTTATCTCATTACCTGTAATGCCTAGTAAAAATGCTTCTGGTTCCTTAACAAATGTATATTTCAACATTTTCTTCAATTCATTATAAATCATTTCCCAAAAGCATTTTACCTTCTTACATTCCCACCACATATGAAAAAAGGTACCTTCTTTTTCTTTACATTTCCAACATTTGTTACTTGTCTTTTACATTTTTGCTAACTTCACCAGAGTTACATACCATCGGTACATCATTTTCATAACATTTTCTTTTATAACTGTACATGCAGTGAATCTTAAACCTTCTTTCCAGAGTCTTTCCCAATCCTCCATTTGTATATTATGCCCTATATCTTTGGCTCAGTCAATCATAACTGATTTTACCTCCTCATCCTTCGTACCCCATTCCAATAATATCTTATACATTTTTGCTAAAATCTTATAGTCATTATTCAATATTTCTGTCTGAAATTTTGATTCTTTATCAGCAAAACCCCTCTGATTTAAATCTTTTCTAAATATCTCATTAATTTGAAAAAAATGCAGCCAGTCATTCACATAATCCTTAACTTCTTCAAATGGTCTCATTTTCCATTTTCCTTCACTTTTACACATTAACTTCTCATATGTCACCCAAGCCCCTGTCATATTGACTTTCTTCACACTTATCGCCTCCAACTGCGACAACCAATATGGAGTTTTTTGTTCCAACAAGTTTTTATATCTTTCCCAGACTTCAATCAAAGACCTTCTTATAATGTGATTTCCAAAACCTTTATGTACCCGTTTCTTGTCATACCACAAGTACGCGTGCCACCCGAATCTATTATCAAAACCTTCAAGATCTAACACATCTGTGTCTTCTAATTTCGTCCATTCCTTCAACCAACAGAGGCAAGATGCTTCATAATGCAATTTCAAGTCTGGCAGGGCGAAGCCTCCTCTTTCTTTTGCGTCTATCAATATCTTAAATTTAATCCTCGGCTTCTTACCCTGCCAGATATACCTTGAAATTTCTCTTTGCCAATTTTTAAAAATCGCTGCCCCTTTGATTACTGGAACTGTTTGAAATAAGAATAACATCTTCGGTAGCAGGGAGACTTTTTCATGCTGCCCTGATCTCCTTGGAAGAAGGGTGGGGTGCAAATACAGTGGTACCTCGGTTTTTGAACATCTCCGTTGTCGAACATTTCAGTTTCCGAACATTTCTGTTTCTGAATGCCGTAAACCCGGAAGTAAATACTTCGGTTTTTGAACACACCTCGTAAGTCGAACATGCCATGTGGCTTCTGCTGAGTGCAAGATCCTGAGGCCTAGCTGTCGACTGTTGAGTTTTTGAACGCTTGAGAACTTGAACGGTCTTCCGGAATGGATTATGTTTGAAAACCAAGGTACCACTGTATAAGAAATAGCACGCTGCCTCACAAAACCTTCAAAGAGCCCAGCAAAGTAGGCCAGGATCAGAATCCTTGTATTGGGGAGGGACACTTATTCCTTTAGTGAGTTCATGGCTGAGGTGGGATTTGAGTACTCTCCTCAGTGTAAACACTCTTAGCTTCTAGAATCTAGACTTACACCAGCTCTCAAATCAGAAAACGAATAATGTTCAAGTATTTTTAATTGAAAAACATGTTTCCTATTATCTATAGTTTGTATGGCTGTGCGCTTCACTCCTCTTGAAGGGAGACAGTTCTGTGGCAGAACCCTGGACTTGGATATTGTAGTTGAAAAGTTGAAATGGGTGTTCTCCTTGTTGCACGATTTGAGCATGGGAAGCTAAAATGCCGCCCCTTGACTTCAGCCTGTTACCCATTCTCGTGTCCCCCACAGCTTTTCCCTTCTCCCATTTCTGGTACCTTCTTGAAATACATTTTCAGTACCCAACTACTGTTTCCATGCCATTTAAAAAACAAATTGGGACTTCATTAACCAGTTGGATTTGGCTACATTACATTGTCATCAAGGGCAAATAGAAGCCATGGGCATATAGCTTCATTTGCCCTCAACGATGTTAGCTAGTGGCATCATGTAGGAAGTAGAAAGCCATTTTTTTGGGCTTTGATATAGCTTTATTTGCCCTCAATTATGTTAGCTACTGGCATCATGTAGGAGAAGTAGAAAGCCAATTTTTTAAGCAATTGGAGCTGAAACAGAAGCTGTATTAGGGTGGTGAACACCAGGAAACTGACATTTAGAGATTAGGACTGGGGAAGTTTTGAGACAAACACTCCAAAACATCCTATTTTCATACTGAAATTCATTACAGCATTATGGGGAGGGCTGGTGCTTTTTCCCAGGGGTGGTGATACTAAAAGGTATGCAGTACTGGCACCTATTTTTGTTGTTTAAAAGTGTGGTACTTACTGTAACAACTTCATGGTGAGTACCGACGCCTATTTTTCTAGGGGGGGAAAGCACTGGGGAGGGCAGTCTCTTGGGTTTGAGAACTATGAGGCTCGACAGTGCTATCCCCTGAGCTTTATCCAATAAGCATTTGGTTGGAATCCTAAGCATACTGTTACAAAAGTTGGGTGTCTCCCCCTCTCTCTGCTGAGCGGTGGCAGAGCCCATGTGGTTCCAAGCATTCACCCAGGGTCTGTGTTCCTTTGGAGAACTGAGACATGGAGAAGACTCGTAGCTTTAAGAAATATGGTTTATTCACCTATTTACACCTTCAGTCTGCATGGAGGAAGCCTAGATCTGACAGCATGGTCATTTCAAGAGGGACTTGTACCCCACAGCAGTGCAGTCCTGGAGTCCAAGGCATCTCTTCCAGTCAGCTCTGCAGCCAGCCTGCCCAAAGGTGGATCCCAGACCTTCTTCCTTCTCTTTCCCAGAACCCCTTGCTACCAGTCTCCCTTTTCCTGTCACCTCAGACACAGCCTGGCAACCTTCCAAACCCATGTCTCTGTTCACATCTCACGGCAAGTGGGTGGGTGGGGAAGGACAGTTCCATTGCATTGCCAATGGCTCTCAATCGCCCTTTATTGTTTCTTAATGGCCCTGGACCATAAAGAAAGCTGATCGCTGAAGAATTGATGCTTTTGAATTATGGTGCTGGAGGAGACTCTTGAGAGTCCCATGGACTGCAAGATTTCCTTAAGGAAATCAGCCCTGAGTGCTCACTGGAAGGACAGATCGTGAATCTGAGGCTCCAATACTTTGGTCACCTCATGAGAAGAGAAGACTCCCTGGAAAAGACCCTGATGTTGGGAAAGATGGAGGGCACAAGGAGAAGGGGATGACAGAGGACGAGATGGTTGGACAGTGTTCTCGAAGCTACCAGCATGAGTTTGACCAAACTGCAGGAGGCAGTGGAAGACAGGAGTGCTCTAGTCCATGGGATCACGAAGAGTCAGACATGACTAAACGACTAAACAACAACAACAACAACTGCCCTAGCTTGGTCAGGTCGTTTTGCATAGGCTAGTGCAGGAATTCCTCTGCAGTTTGTATTTCTCCCTTTATATCCCAAATAATGAAAAAATGCTACCATTTATTAGTTTCTAGGGTTTAGGGAGGTCTCCCCCACAATCTATAATAATACCTACTAGGAAGCAGTTTCCATTTAACTTAGCAAGACCTACTTCCACATTGAGATATTGCAGATCAGACTGCAAATTGATTAAAAACAACAACAACAACCTGGGCTATCTAGCCTGCCGTCTGTTTTCATCCGTGGCCAATGTCTGGTTCTGCAGAGGAAGTCTGTAACTGTGTAGGGCACTAATGGAACTCTCCAATCTCCCTTGATCATTTCCAGCTTCCATCAGACTAGTGTTTAGGGATGATCTCAGAAGGAGGACATGTAAACCGATGTAGTCTGCTTAAAAGGATACATAGGCCTCTCACAAGCAGTTTTATGCACTGGCGCAGGTTGCTGCCAGATGTATCCGAGGAGACTTTCATTTGAAATTTGGGATCTGGGTGATGGGACCCGTCCAGGTCCCATCATGGTTTTTTAACCTTTCTAAAATCTCATGCCATAGCACAGGGATGGCAAACTGGTGTTTGGCCCAAATGCTGCTTGGTGAGCATGTTAAAATAAGCACTGAGAGCTGTGCCGAAGCTTTGGGCACTTTAATACCAGCCATTTTCTCCTGTCTTGGCACCATTTAAGACCTTCTGCATGCAAAGCACTTGCTCCCGTACCAAGCCCTGATTCCCCAGGCTGAGATGAGGCAAATGGATGTTCCAGCATCATAGCTAAAAGGACAGAGAGGGCTGGCATGGAGGCCAGAACTTGAGAGCTGAAACAAACCATACCAAACAAGTACTGATTTACGGTGGCGTACTGTTTGTTCCCTCTCTTGCTACTGCTGGCTAAAGGAAGGAAGTGTGGGAGGAATTCCATAACATTGGATCATAGTATCTTTCCATGGAAATATGACGACTTAAAACAAAGGGGGAGAAAGGAATCGAATCCAAGCACTATAGCAACACATAAAAATGTACTTGGTATGAAAGAAGCGCCTGCATTTGGTACAGAGCTGGCTGCATTTCTTATTAGTGAAGGAGAGGCGAATGCTGTATGTGATCCATCAGTTATTTTTAGCAAATTTGCTAGTGCATCACAAGTTAGAGAGACTTTTAAAAATAATTTTTGTGTGTGTCTTGGAAAAGACTGTTGTGATTCCCTTTACTTTGAGTACATTCCATTGGGCACTTCTATGTTTCTCTTTAGCTCAATGGCAGATCTTCGAGTGCATACTTCACTTTTTTATTGACATCATTGGGTCTTAAATGTGCTTATCTTTAGCGGAATTGTGACATCGAGAGAAGGGATATAGTTTGGTGTTTGACTACAGGCTGTGAAGCTTCCAGTGCAACAATTTATTGAGCAACCATGCCTATCTGTTTGCACAAAATCTGTGCAGAAGTTATACGACGCCACCTGTTTATTGAGCATTCGTCTTGGTATGTTGTGCAGGTTATACAACACTGCCAGCTACTGGTTGTTATCTCACACTTTCCATTGCAACATCCCATCACTTTTTTTCTGGACTTTTTGCGGTTAGAAAGGTGATGGGATAATTGCACTAGAAAGTGTGAGATAACAACCAAATTTTGCGCCAAAAAAGCAGCCTACATCTGACGATATCCACTGAGAATGCAGAAGACCCCAGATGTAAATCATGACTTCTTGACTAAAAGCAGGGCTTTTTTCAGGCGGAACTTGCCGGGAACAGAGTTCAGGTACCTCTCAGGTGAGCGCCACTGCCATTATAAGAGAAGAAGGGAGGAGTTCATGGTGTTCTTTTTCTAGAAAAATAGCACTGACAAAAAGGGTTTCGGGCCCCTCTGCCTGAGATCTTTGAGATCTCCTGCTGATCAGAGTAGGTAAGACTGAACTAGATAGACCAGGGGTCTCACTCTGTATATGGCAGCTTTATAGCTTTAATAGTCTCTGAATGGTCAGTATTTTTCAACATTAATCATGTGTAAGTGGGAAAATGCAACAAAATGTTGCAGTGTGCTCTCCTTCCAAAAGGAGTTCTCCTGCGCCATCTCTTTTGCATACCGATACCTTTCTCCAACTCTGCCTCTCTCTGTGCCCCATTTTGGCTAAATCCCATTGGCTCTCAAAATCTGCGTTCTATGTTAGAAAAAGCAAATGTGGGATATTAGTGGGGAGGGGGATTTTTTTTGCACAGAATAGTTCTGTTAGATCACTTCTACGTGAAACTAACCACACAATTCAGTCAGAATTAAATATTTTAAAGCTCCATAGATTTCAGTAAGAGAGCTTTACGCATGTACTTTAACCCACCCACTAAAATCAGTGGGAAGTAAGGTATTTGACTTCAGCTGGATTGTTCCACTTATGTTGAAATTACCCCACATCCTTTAGACAATTTCATTGCTGTTGGTTTTCCCCACCTGTGGGGTGGATAAAAGATTATACCAAGATGACTGCTTGTGGAGTCTCTGCCAGAATCATGTACACAAAGGGTAGACTACTCTGGGGGCAAGTAATTCTTATTCCTACATACTCTGTACATAAATACAAATGCTTTATACTACTGCTTTTAAACCCAACATTCAACTCAGAGTACCACAATGGCTTATCCATTTGCATATATGAAGCATCCCCCACTGTTGTACGGGGTTTTATATGCTTAGCTCTTTGCTGTTGGCAATTCAAACAAAATAAGCCATCATCAGCCTTTAGTTTCTTCAAGAGCCACCCCCAGCAAGTCGTTGCCAGTCTGGCTTCATGAGGAAGTTAGCCAATATTATTTCCAGCCCTTGTTGAATTCATGAATTTATGAGTTTGCTCAAATTCCAACCCTTCACTGAATGTAGGGGTTATGGGAGGGTTGCTTCCCC